AAAGCAAACCGCAAAGGAGATCAAATTCAGTAAGATTTTAAGGGGCCATCTGACAGATGAGAAAGCCAGTGGATGTGGGGGGCAGGTGAGCAGGCAGAACATGCAGACATCACGGGCTGCCCTGGCTCAGGAAGCTGAACACAGAACGGGAGGAGGGGCCTCCAGATCAAAGAGGGGCCACTGCCACAACTGTGCTATGCCTGGCTCCTAAACTGGTGACAGGCCAGGATCTATTTGAGGTAATGGAAGCTACTGAAGAATGCTGTGACCTCATTTAATTTATACGTCCATACTTCCATCTGCAGTATGCAGAATGGATTCAAAGCAGGTGGAAGACATCTAGGCCAAGAGGATGGCTTTGGAGATAGGAAGAGGAGGACAAGACATCTGAAGATACTTCTTGGAGGTAGAATCCATAGTGCTTATTAATGGACTAGATGAGGAGAGCAGGGGAAGAAAGGAACTGAGAATGATTTCCAGGTATCTTGCTTGAGTAATTGAGTGTAGGGTGTTTACTAAAACAATGAAGTCTGGGCTAACAGGTTCTGTGAGAGAAAAATCAAAAGTTTGGTGTTTGTACATAGCTAAAAGAGATACAAATGGATAAGCGAAACTGTGTGTAGAATATAATAACTGAAACCAAGGGTAGCTCTAGGTAGGAAGCAAAACTTTGGGAATTCTTCACAGAGACAGTTATAGCCACAAGAATAGGTGAACTGCCCAATGAGAGTAGACAGAAAAAAACGAGGTGGGAGGGTTAGCCTCAAAGAATGCCTGCACTTTCAGAAAGGCACAGGAGGAGGGGGCCTCAGGGTAGCCTGAGAAGAAAGCCAGGAGAGAGACGGCACAGCATCACAGAGGACACATCAGGGAAGAGCTGCACTTCTGACTAATGCCATGGAGAAGATGGCAGCAGAGTCTTTCTCCATCCTGAACACCAACTACTAGCAGCCTTGTGCAGCAAGCCTTGAGAGGGAGGGGACCAGGCAGCACAGTGTCCCAGGCTCACAATGTCTAGCATGGAACTTCAAAGATGAGGCAACAACATTTTGAGTCCCAACAGGGTAAAAATATGAATATCAGTCCTATTGTCAGCATGCAGCTTCTAGGTTCCAATCACAGTGCCAGCGTCCTCCTGCACGAAGCAGCTTAGGGATCCAGGTATCTTAATATCCTGGGAAGAGCTGTGGTGACTCCAGGCAAATACCAGCTCCATGGCACCAATGTGGTAAGGCATCTGCCTACAGAGTGCCTGCACTGCTGTAAAGTTCTAGAAGTGTGAGACAGAGTAAGTCATTGCTCCAAGGAATTTATGAGAGGAAAAGAGAAATGGAAGCAGATGATGATGCAATATCTGTATAATACTGACAGCATATCATATTCTGGGGTAGGGAGTGGGAAGGTGGTGGGAAATTGGGTGCATAGCAAGCCTTCTTGTGTAGTGAGTCTCTAAGAAAAGGGTAAGCCGGACAGCCTTGCACCAGGAGGAGGGCAGCCAGCCAGGAGGGCAAATAGTATTCCAGTGGAAGGGACAAGACAACTTAGGAAGGCATAGAAGTAACTTCTTATGTGTGTGTGTGAGAGTGCTTCCAATTATAGAATAAAGTGACTTTCAGGAAAAGAAGAGCAAACTTATTCAGGGACCCACATCTGAGGAGCCCTGTTTTTCACAATAAAAAAGATTATGTTGTCTCATGGAGAAAGGGGTGCAGAACACTTAAAATGTTTTAGATAGGAAGGAACATGCTACACAGATGTGATTTTGACAGATTGTTCTGGCAGCTACATATAGATTTGAAAATAATAAGATGTACAGACAAATTATTTCAATAAATATAGATAAAATAATTTGGGTAATAAAGGAAAAATAATATTTTGGATTTGAAAATAGCAAGACTAAGGTCAGAGAGACCGATTATGTGGCTGTTTCAATAGTTCAGTGAAAAGATGATCCAAGATTGAACTCAAAATATGGTAAGGGGGTGAAATTAGAGATTGGTTCTATTCATATAAACTGAGCAGAGATATTTGGAAGACCGGAAGTGGAGAGGGCTTGATGTGGAGAAAAAGGCAGAGACTCAGAAGATCAGTGGATTCATTAGTAAAACAAAATATAAGGGGCAGGGAGAAGATTTAGAAAAAGATGATGAGCTCAGCTCTGGACTCATTGAGTCTGAAATTCCTGGACAGTCCAGTAAATAGCTGTGTGTATGAGTCTGAAGCTCAGTGGAAAGATGTAAGTTAGAGATTCAAATTGTTTGTTTTTTTTTTAAATCAGCCTCATTGCTGTGTAATTTCCATTAAAAACTCCATTGATAGTATAACTACTACCACAATCCAACTGTAGAATATTTCCATCAGTCCCCAAAATTCCTTCCTGACCCTTCAGACAGTTTGGAGAGTTGTGGTTAAAGGGTGGCAGCCAAAGCTAGGGGAGCTCTTGAGGCCACATGGAAAAAGGCAGAGTGACAGCAGCAGCGGGTAATGACTTACAGGCACAGACAGGGGACACAGAGTCTATGGAGCACTCCCTAAAAGTACGTGGTGAGCAGGAAGGAAAACCGAGGCTCCATTAAAAGGGAAAAGCCATTAGTGACAATACTAAGATGAGTTACCTTTTGGAAAACAGTACATTCCCCTGGTCAATCCAGCCAGTGGAAACCCTAGAGAAGTCAGGTGCGCCAAAGATACGGAAGCAGAGGATCTTCTGAAGTTAAGCAGAAGAAATGAATGAGAGACAGAAAGAACCCAGCAGTACTGAAGGGACTTGGTGGAAGCGTATGGATAGCAGCTGGAAGGAAGTGCTGCTGGGATTGTGAAAGACTCTTGAACCTGAAATTTGAACCCTGAACTCTTGCTCTTCATGCCATTTCCAGCTATGGAATCTCAGACATTCTCACCTTCTCTGGGCCTGACTTTTTGTTGGCATAATCAGATGGCCTCCAACGGCCCTTCTAGTTTTGTATCAGTGGCACTTTCTGTGCATTTAACAGCATGAAGATAATGATGACCCTTGCAAGAGCAACTGCAATGGTGGGGATGATGCGAATTAGAATCTCTCAGAGAAACCTGACTGCGAAACATTCTGGAAAAATGCACCCAGAAGGACATATGCTCTCAACATCTATCACAAAACATCAAAGTCATGAGGCAACATTTTGAGGTCCAGATGGGGTAGCATCTGCCCAGATGGCCAGACCAGTATTGCTGAACCCAGAAGAGCAACCAACATTACTCAACACATCGTAAATGTCAGGAGCTCTATAAGGCACTTCCTGTGCAGAAAAAGCTGGATGGCCAGGGTTCTTCCTGTCTCCAATTAACACTACCATTTATAGACACTGTAGATTACGTGTAAATTTATATCATACCCAACCTTTGAGGAGCAAAGGAGAATGAACAGTCTCTCCAAAATATTTAACAAAATCCCCGGTACCACAAAAAAGGGGGGCCAGGGATTTAGCTCAGTGGTTCTGCCACCTGCTTCGCAAGCACAAGGTCCCGAGTTCGATCCCCAGTACCAAAATATTTAACAAAAAGCAAAGTCTCTATAATAGATTTAGATTAATAGTGAAACAATTTCAGCACAAATAAAAGATTTTTTCAGAAAGTCAGAAAGTATTACAGCAGAAGAATGGGGCTCAAAGTCAGATCTGTCTTCAGTTCCAAATATCTCCATGACATGACATGACATGACAGCTGCCTACAATTAGCCTTCTTACAATGTCACATGTCTTGTCTTTCATCTTTTCTTTGAATTGTATGGTTTTATATAGCACTTATTATTCTCTAGATTTATATTTAAATTGAAACCCCTTTTAATTAGGTAATCTAGTATCAATCAAGTATTTTTTGTCAGCCTTTGCTAGATACATGTGAGTGTTTACCAATATTCCTTATGCAGTAAGTCATGATCCAGAAAAACCAAGCACCCTTCTTGGCACTGTGTGTCCAGATTTTATTATCTCCTATGGTCTTCTTGTCTTTTCAGAAGCTTCAATCCTCAGCAAGAAGAGGAGATGAAAATACCACCTACACTATTAAGTCCTTCAGTTCCTCCCACCTGGGACACCTAAGTCAGTAGACATACATGTCACATTTCTGTTGGCGATAAAATTTATTCTTGGATTATATACCTGGCTTTTGGTAAAGACTGAAAACTTCTCTTTATCTTGGCAAAAAATTTACAAATCACTCAGAATGAAGTGAAAGATTTATATGATTTGAAGAGAAACCAGACTATAATACCACTCATAATGAAAAATCGCAAAAGTTAAAGTTGAGTAACCAAGAATACAAACACGTGAATACTTAATATGTCTTTTTCTCCCAACACATTACATTTGTAGACTTTCTTTTGCAATTCCATGTGTGTTTAGGTAATTTTCTATGTCAGTCCAAATAATGTGGCCTACCCTATATTTTTAACTTTAGAGTACCTACAATTTCATGATTTAAAAAGTGTAATGAATTTTAAAATGGTGACAGACTGATGAAAATGTTGAACAACTTTGTGAACATTTGAGGCACACAAATGAAATATTTAAAACTATATCTTCTTATCTGCTCAATTAAATAATAAGCTCTTCTTAATCAGGCTTCATAGGAAGGTACACTTCTGCATCGAGGGTTGTTTTTGACTTTTATTAGTTAAGTACTCAAAAATCACTATTGGAGGAGTTCAACAAGCATCTGAAACATACTTTAAATGACATTCTATGTAAGTGCAGGATATAGATAAGCTTTCATATTATCAATAAGATTTCAGTTATAGAGATTCGACCACACCTTAAGGATAAATACTCCTACTCAAGTAACTGTAATCAAATAATGTGTAAACACTATTCATTTAGCCCATTTTGAAATATTTTATTTCAAATGGAATTAAAAGATATAGGAATTTATAAATATTAGAAAATATAAAGGAGGAACAGATAAGAAACAAGAATATGTCCTGTTATAAACAGTCTTCTCAAACAAGAGTTAAATTTTGCTTGATTTTAAATGGACACTAAATCTCTCTCTCCTTCTCTCTCTCTCTCTCATACACACAAATGCAGTCATTTTAAATCACCTTTACATAACACTTAGATATGAATATTCAAACTCCTACAAAAAGGAAAGGAATAATTTTCTGCATAAATGTTTCAAGAATCCTTAATCAACAACATTTAAGAACATGAGCCATTTTGGGGACAAATGGGGGAAATCTGAATACAGGCCTCCTATAGAGATTAATTTAATGTCTTTGGTTAATGTAGTTAATTACCTTCACTAATGAAGGAGAAACCAGGTGATATTATGGTTAAACAAGAAATGTCCTTATTCTAAGGAGGTGTTACAATATCTGCAACTTAGTCTCACCTGGCTCAGACTGACAACAAAACAGTAGAGGAAGAGAATGTAATAAATGTTCCAGCTGCTAAACCTGGGTGCACCAACACACACTTGCTATTCTGCTATTCCTTTACCTTTGGTACAGACTTAACCACTTTTGAAATAAAAAGTTTGGAAAAAGATTCATTTCCAATGATTAGAACTATCAATATTTATTTCCAAAACACACCACTGCATGGGATCCAACTCATGAGCCATTATCAAAACTATGTTCCTCCAGCTGTCTTCATAAATTTGAAAGGATTTCATTTATTCAAATGAGAGAAAAGTGCAGCTTCACTTGGGCAGGAGAGAAGGGAGAACAGCTTCAAAGTTTGGGAGTCTGCCTGTCACACAGATGCCACATTTGGTGAGCATGGCTGTGTGTCGCCTGCCTCCTCCGGTCTCCCCTACCAGCTGCCTGATGGCTATCTGGGGGAGATGCGGGGAGCCCTCCAAGAGGGGGTGAGTGCAGAGACAAGATAAGGAACATGCTGTAACCCCAAACTGAAGGGACAGGGATCCCCTGGGGTTTTCATTTGGATGGATCTCCAGATAGGCACACGTAGGGAAGGGGAAAGCTGTTAGCAACCAGGTGATAAAATGGAAAGAAATTACATTAAAAGGAGCTGTCCTCGGCTCAGCTTCTGGAAATGATGACTTATAAAACTATTTCACTGTAAATGAACTTGTTTCTTGTATTCATCGTGGCAGAGGAAACATGAATCTACAGTACTCTGAAGCTGAGGGCAGAGAAAATATTAATTTTGCAACAAAGAGAGTGGCAATAAAGGGACGGTACCTTTAACAAGATAATGGTGTTTAATCAATGTAGGGGCTTTTTCGAAATCCTGTTGTGAGAAAATAATTTTTCTCATGATTCAGAAGACAAAGAAAAACAATGAATGTTGACAACATGGAATTAAAAAGCCACTCCAACCCAATTTGTTATCCACCAATATATATATTCTTTTTAATTTACTCTAAGCCAGCCTGTTGGCTCACACTATCTTACTTTTGTGTCATTATCTCTCTGCCATGCACACAAGTCATAGCTGGGGATTTCAACTCGCGGTGAAGCTATGCTGAGATTCCAGGTCTCAGTGGTGTTGGCATGAGTGCTGGTCTCTTCAGTCATAGAGAAGACAATATCCTAGGGAGACTGGAATTAGTCCTATTTTGCACCATTCAAGCCAAAATGCTGCTTATCAAGGAGGAAGTAATTGCTAGCTAATGGCTATGGGGGGAAAAAACACTGTATTTCAAACTAAGCATCCCTTGGCACGTGACAATAAAGAAGGCTGTGCAAAGTGCTAACAGAGAGTGGGCATGATTTCTTGAGGAGGTTAAATAGCAAACGGTGGAAAGGCAAGTTACCTCGTCCGACTGAGAGGGGCTGATTCTGGGCATGGGCGACACTTGTGGCGTTTTCAACTGTGTGCTGTTGGCGTCTGGCACGAGCTCTCGGTGCACGGTCTGGATGTGGGTCTGGAGTTCGCTTTCAGACTCAAACTTCACATTGCAGCTGGAGCAGCGTGTCTTCAGTCCCCCCGTCTTGCCTTTGCCCTCCATGCCACTGAGATTCTCATTCTGGCCCAAGCCTGGTCTATTCGTGCTGGGCGGGAGGCTGATGCCTGGGCTACTGCTCTTACTGAGATTCACGCAGCCAGCACACAGACCATATGGCAGGCCGTTGATGTCAAGTTTCACCAGATCTTGCTTGGAACGGAATTCTTTGAGGCAAGATGCACACTTGTACAGTTTCTGGACGTGCTGGCCACGCCCGGTGGTCTGCACGGCGGACCCATTCCCTGTCTTTTGCATGTGGAATGTCCCATGGATTTTGAGTTCCAAGGTGGAGGTCACAGTCTGCATGCACACCACGCAGCGGAATCCCGTCAGGGAATTCCTCAAGTCAGGGTGCATTTGGCAATGCTCCAAAAACTCCTCTTCACTCTGCAGCGGCATCTTGCAAATCCGACAGTTTCCGGTATCAAGGCTCTTACTGTGTGTGACCTTGTGTTCGGTAAGAGTTAAAAGGGAAGGAAACCGCTCTCCACAAATGGGGCACATGTAGTGTTTGACAGGGCCTAGGTGGGTCTGCATATGTTCACGGAGGCCATTTTCAGAAAAGAAGGTTCGAGAGCACACGTTGCACTTGTAATTCCCCTTAATGAGCTCAGCTTTCTTTTTCACAATGGCGCTTTCTCCAGGCCTGATGTTGTGATCCCGAAGCTGGTGATTCTGCAGTAGGGTTTCCATGGTGTAGGCCGCCCCACAGATGTCACACCCGTACATAGGCTCAGAGCTGTCCACGTCTTCTTCGCTTCCATCGTGACTGTTGTGGGACTCCTGGCTGTTGGTCAGCAAGGTCTGCAGCTCCACCTCCTCTTTCTGTACCTGCTCTGAAGCCCCATTCGTCCCGCAGTTCGGTGTCTTGGTCTCAAACACGCAGTGCTTCTCCCGCAAATGCTTCTCTAGCAAAATGATGGCGTGGAAGGCTTTGCTGCAGAACTTGCAGTTGTACTTCTTGCTGTGGGTGGTGATGTGGCACTGGAGCTCCACCTCAGTGCCAAAGGACTCACCACAGAAGATGCACTTGTGCACCTTGCCTTGGTTTTCCAGGTGATTGTGCTTCACGTGGAGCTGCAAGTCGGTCTCGTTGCGGAAGTCCCAGTTGCAGGACGTGCACCGGTAGACCTTCTTCTCATTACTGTGCTTCACGGCCAAGTGCAGCTGAATGGAGACTTTTGAGTCAAAAACCTCTTGGCAGAGCGTGCAGCGGAAGAAGACGAAGGTGTGCATATCCAGCAGGTGCTTCTGAAGGTCGTCCACGGATGTGAACTGCTTGTCACAACTCTCACAGATGTAATAGGTCGAGGTGATCATAAAGTGAATGGTCACATGCTTCAGCAGGGATTCTTGGTTGGGGAATTCCTTGTTGCACTGAGGACAGGTCAATTTGGGCAGCACAGTGTCGAGGTGAGTTTTCAGGTGAGTCTGAAAGCTGTCTAGGGACGTGTACTTAGCACCACACTGATTACAGATATACTCTCCAGCTGGACGCGCGGGTGCGCCTCCTACTGCCTGCATCATCTTAAGAGATGTCTGCTCAATGGCCACAGGGGACAGAGGGCTCAAGGCCCGGGACTTCTTCCCATTGTGAATATAATTCAAGGCCAAGGGAATGTTTTTATGATTCTCTTTGATATGCTTGTTCAGTTTAAGAACACTGTTGAATATTGGCGAATTTGTACAATAGGAACAGGAATAGACTTCTACTACTGGTTCTTTTGGAGTCCCAAGCACTGGAGACCCAAATCGAGAGCCACTGAGGTCACAATGGACCTGTCTTATATGCTCTTCAAGGGAAGAGTCAGTGAGAAACCCCATATAGCAATGGGGACAAAAGAAAGCATTACTGTCCTTAGCCGCAGGGTTTGCAAAGCCGTGAGAACATCGGATGTGTTCCTGAAGGGTGTTGAGGTCATTGACAACTTCAGAACAGAAGTTGCACTGGTAAACTATGGCAGGCATGGCAGAAACGATCAGGCCTGGGTCCTGAGCTTCGTGCACTTGCTTAAGATGTTCATTTAGGTTATAGAGTGAGGGCAAGACCTCCAAGCAATACTGACAGATATGGGCCTGTTCTGGCTTATCTAAATGCATAGTTTTCAGGTGAATCTGCAGAACTGCAAGACTCGAAAACAACTGCTTGTTGCAGTAAATGCAGCTGTATGTAACTTTCGGTTGTTTACTCGAGGGGCCGGTCATGTCGGGGGTTTGCTGAGCAGCCCTCTTTCTCCCTCGACTCTTTGGGATTGGCGGGGCGGCCTCCACCATGGTTGAGCTGTCCACTGAGAGGTTGGAATCTGGAGTCGTGCTGGACACGGAGGTGTAGCCCACTGTAACCAGGGAGGGGCTGTTGCTGTGATTGCAGGACTCCGGTTGCTGGTGACTGTCCATGTGGCTGTACAGTTCCTCCACTGTGTGGAAACTCTCAGAACAGATGCTGCAGGAGTTCTTCTTCTCGCCCCCGTGCACCTGCTCCATGTGGTTCACGAGGGACGTCTCCTCCACAAAGAGCTCATGGCAGTAGACACACTGAAGGGCCGCTCGGTCCTCGTTCGGGGAGCATTCAGGGTGACACTCTGCAATGTGCTTCTGAAGGTCTTCTGGGAAGTCAAAGCCTTCCTCACACTGACTGCACTTCTGAGCATCCTTCATCTTCCAGTCCTCCATCCTGGAGCCCGACTGGGAGCCGTCTTTGTTCCTCTCGTGAACCTGCATATGTCCATGTAAGGAGCTAGAGGACAGGAACCCACGGCGACAAATGGCACATTTATATGGCTTGTTGGACGTGTGAGTCTTTAAGTGGATCTTCAAGTGATCACTTCTGGAGAACGCAGCATCACACTCGCTGCAGTGGTACTTCTTGTCCCCGGTGTGCAGTTTTATGTGGCGGTCTCGGCTCCGCTTGTGTTTGAACAGCCGACTACAATAGGTGCACTTGAAAGGCAGTTTATCACTGTGACTCTGCTCATGGTGCTTTAGGTAGCTGAGGCGGCTAAACGACTTGTCACAGAACTGACACGGGTATGGCAGTCCGGGGCCACCTTCTTCCTCTCCAAAATCGCAACCTTCTCCATGGCTGGGGGACGTCTGGTCCTTGCTAGAAGGGGAGGAGGCTGGCCAGGAGCACGTGGGATCATCTTCAACATCCACGCCATCTGCAAGGAGAAGCAAGGAGACATTTCACTGCCAATGTCAGGAACTCGGGTGCACGTCCACCGTGCTATGGCCACAAATACACACAGCCGCACCATCTTGAACCTTTCATGGGGGGAAAAAAAGTGAGGACAGAGTGTTTGAGTGAGATATTTTCAAACCTGAGCCCAAAGCTTTTATTCTACATTTACTTTTTACTGGCTGATAAAATATAAAAAAGATATTAAATATTTCTATGCCTAAATTACCCTTTTATTACTTTTTATCATTCTTCCTTAGAAGTGAGATATATATTACACATTGACAATTTTATTAAAATGCAGATTTTAATATATTTAATGTTTCTTTTGTATTCATTCTAAAATGATTTGCATATTATGTGAACATCTGAAGAACCAAATGAAAAGAGGAAATATTACAGGAATGATTTAAAATTAACGTAGTCAACCCAGATGTCTAATATTTAATAAAAATCTCCCTCTGCATTTTCCTTGTTTTTCTATAAAAAGACAATTCTGAAGACCAAAATCTTTTATGGGGTTCTTATTGATACAGACCTTATTGCTTTCAGCAAAAAAATATTAAAAAGTAAGCACATGAAAGAAGACAGAAAACACATAATAATTATGTCTTGTGTAATAAAGACAACCAGGATTTCTTCAATAACTGAAAGATTCGAATACCATAGGCCAGAAAATGGATTATTAAATGTTAGAAGGGTACCGCGAGATATTACATGTAGCTAGGATCAGCCAGGATCAAGAAAAAATGAGAATTTCACCAGGGCCAGATTTCATAGTGTATTTTGTTTGGAAAGTTCAAGAGGTGGCCAACCATTTCTTCCTTTTGCAAAAAGCTTCAGCAGCCTGAACTTCCTTAGCTAAACAGGACCTGCACTTTGAGGTGATCAGAGACAAAGCAACTTGTGAAAAACTGGAAACAGGAAAAGTGATAAATGATTATGGTAAATGCTGAAGGATTTATGAGTAACAAAGAGAAGACAAACAAAACTGCGAGCCAGATACGAACTTAGCAAGTTAACCATAAAGGAATTCTACCTTATATTTATTTTAGGCGTTATTTTTTAAAAAATTCTGTTCTTAGCAAATGTGCACTCTGATTTCTGCTGCCTTTCTAACATCCAAGTGGGAAAGAAGGCCTTCTCGAAACAGGATGTGAAACCTCTTCTTTGCTTTTCAAAACAATCTACCATTCAAAATCAGAAGAGATTTTTAAAAGCATTCAGCTTCCAAAAGAGCAAGATTTTCCATAAATATAGAAAAGTAAAGATCCTGGAGGAGGGGTGATGAGGAGAGCTACTGTTGGAACAATGTGCCCAATTAGGGAATTGTTAGAATATTCTAATAGCCATTAATGAGAATAGGATCCAGAAAGTTTAAATTCTTCAATGCTAAAATTCACTAGCAAGTTGAATGATGAACATAAAAGCAGAAACCGGCAAGCATTATGAAACGAATTCCATGTCTGCTTTCTTTAAGGTAACAAGATTTTACTAGATTGTCAGCCTCTTCCTTATCCTCAGGAAACAGATGAGGATCATTCCTTTCCTGCATCTAGAAACTGATGACAACACCATCTCACTATCAATGCCAGATGGCAGCCCTCTCACCCTGAGAAAACAACCAAACACCACTCCTGGATCCCTGCCCACTGCAACAAAGCTCCGCCATACAAGTGGAAAACCGCATGATTTTGCATCCTCATTCACAGGACTCCATAACCCAATGTGCTTCCAGCCTCAGAAAGGGCTCGAGAATTGCAGGTGAGATTTATATTTAAAGGGAATACATCAAGAACATATGCACATAAACACAACTCACCACCCAACATGCAGAAAAGTAACTTTCAAGAAATTCTAAAACCAAACCCCAATGCGGATCTATTTTTCCCTTAAAAAGGCATCAAGGCTTCTAACAGTTGGTTTCCCTGAAGCAAAGTAAAGATTCGGATATTTCCTCTAATTGAAAACAATTACTATTTGCTAAATCTGCTCAGCATTCAAGACAAAAACTTACCACATTTTATATCTATCATTTACACTTAAATCCTGCTGTTTCATTTAAAAATATTTTCAAACGTATCACCTCATTTATACATTTGGGAAAGCAGTGAATCAGAATTTGTCATGCATCTACACTGGGAGGAAAGAACTACTGAGCTTGAAAATTCAGCAACTGAATTTATCATTAAATTGTAGGCTGGGTCCAGGCCTGATATATTATTATACAAATACCAAAAAAATTACAGAGCAATTGTAAAAAGTGTGTGATCCCGACACCATGTTTAAATCAGGTTCCTGTCGTGGTCTGGGCCTGATCATGCCTATTCCATAACTGTTCTCTTAAGCTTGTAAATTGCAAAGAAATGTCAAATGAACTGAAGGTTAGGATCAAGTTTTTAACTGGAGTTCAAGAGGGCTGGGGATGTTTACTTTCCTGCCTTTTGTCGCTATTACCCAGGGGCACAGAAGGAACGCGCCTACTGTGGACTCCCAGCGAGCCTGTCCCAAGTTCTACGGGCATCAGACTCTCCCCAGACTTGCATGGCAGTGGTGTTTCTGCAAACAACCGCTCAAACCTACCTAAGTCTTTGGAAGTTTCCCATCCCCATTAACTTAAGCCTTCTGGCAGTCACAAGACAAACCATGCTTAAATAGCTGATATAGATGAAACCATTTCAATTTGTGTTTTGCACGTGGAAGAATCTATGGAGGCTTCTTCCAACTCTTTTCAGAATCAACTTTGACTTTTCTCCCTTTGGTTCACACTAAGTGCTATTTGGAGGGACTGTCTTTCTGCGTTATGGCAAGTTTTCTACATTTCAACGTGAACTACTTAACATGTCCGTGTTAAATTTTAATCTTTGGAATCAATCACTTCACACTAGCTGACTCTCAGAGAGCTATAGCTCTGGGCGGGGGGGGGGGGGAATAATACCATAACAATAACGAAAAAAAAACTTTGCTGGAAACCAGCTTTGTGGCCTAAAAGTCTATTTAAAGATGCAAATGTGTGTGCATAGTGAGTGCAGATGTTTTTCTACAGCGACTGTACTTGCTGAGTTTCACCATTTCCATAAAGCGCATTAAAACAAGTGTGTGAACACTCGGAGATGAAAGTCTCCAACACTCCCGAGACTTTCCATGGAAAGTAGAGCCGCCAAGCAGACAGGAATGCCCATGATTCAGCAGCCTGAGTAAATAAAAGAGGTCCTTATTTCCTAATTTTGCTGGCTGGCCACAGTGAAGCGCCCTCTGAGCTCTTGCCAAAGGGGATGCAGAGCTGGAACTACACCCAGCCGCTGAAGGCCTGTCTTTGTTAGCTGGCCAGACTTTCCTGACCATCTTCTGGCATGGCATCGGCCTGTATCCTGCAAGGAAGACCTCCATCTCGGGCTCCACGGCTCTCCAGTCTGCCTGCAAGGACGGAACAACAGATTCTGCTGGTCTGTGGCGGAGGAGGACAGCTGGAAGCTCGGTTAGCGGCCGAACAACACCTGTTCCATCGTATTTACGGGGGAAAGTGCTCACTAACAGAAAAATGAAGTCATCCTCGGAGTCATTCCACTGAAAAAAGGGACCAGAGAACAGAGTACCTTTGTGACGTGAGCCAGCAGCCCTTCCTGCGCCGGCCTGGGGAGGAGTATGTGCAGATTGGACCTGATTTTATCCTGGCTACTGCTGACAGCCTGGCGAGCGCACTCGTCAATGGGAGGCCAGAGAGAATGTGTGCATATCCTGCCACTGTCGAAGAGGAACAGCAAGAGTCTAGGCTACTCTTCGGCTTCCAAGCCTCATTGAAGCAGCCAGAAATAAAAATAATAGGATGAAAGAAGGAGAAAGCAGACATGTGCAGGAGAGCTGGGAGGAATGCGCATACTTATTTTGTTTCCTAAAGCGAGTCTTAATTAGTATAAAGTCCACGGTTTCTGAGCTCAGGGACCCAGCCTTTCTGCTGTGGAATCCAACAATATGGGCCACCTGTAGTTATTAAGGAGAAACTAAAGTAAGAAAGCGGATTGATCCCTTGAGATGTGAATTCAGAAATTATCCGAATCTCTGAAGTTCTGGAGACTTCCAACACATTTAGATCTTCACAGGGCAGGGTGGCCAAGAGGCTGGCTTTCTGACATCCTCTAGTTCCCTGTAGCAGGAGAGTAATATCTTAACTGATCCTTGGGGACTCAGCATCGTGTGTGTATGTGCAAGTGCCACATGACAAGGTTACACATAGCAGGGGCAGGATCACATCATGGTTACTTTTCTACACCTTAATGTAGAAAAGGGAAAGAAGCACAGATACCGACAGGCCTGGGCTGCCTGTGGTGGGGAGCACCACTACTCAGAAGAAGAACTAGAAGTCAAGAGTCTGGAGTTTTATTTCTAGCTTCATAACTGACTTGGTGAGTGACCTGACCAAGTCATTTAATCTGCCCCTACCTCGGTATTTCACCTGCAATATGAAGATAATAATTCTCTCTACTTACCCTCTTGGGTGTTACAAAGATTAGTGAATGTTTCTAGGGCACCTTATCATGGCTAGAAGAAAAGCTGCATATGTAAACAAAAAGATTTATAAGTGTTGCATGCATTTCTGTTTCCATGTGCAAGCTTCTGTGTATAAAGTATAAACACATTTTAATATTTTCTTTCCTTTAATGGAACCCCTGGAAGACCAGTTTTAAAGACTGGCCCATTGGAAATCTACAGCACCTTAAACAGTCACAGTTGTATATATAGCCAGCAAGAAAATAAAATATAAATAGTAATATCTAAGAATTAATGGACCATAAATCCATGCTGACTATGTTCCAAGTATTAAATTATCATACATAAGATATAATCTTGGGTCTTTACAGACAGGTAATCTTGGAACAAGTATGTTTCTATGTAATTCTGAAGCCAAGTATATAATTTTGAAATTACCTCTCTTCCTCTTAAAACACCAGCAATACAATCATGGCATTATTTAACATCATAATA